TACCGCACACACTACCCTCGATCTGCTAAGTCAAAGTCGCTGACGGAACCATCTCTTCCGGCTAGTCAGGAGGAGTCAAACTCTTCCCAATCTTCACAAGGAACCGTACATGCCCCTGAAGGCCCTGTTTTGACTTCGCATGAGCTCGACCTTGTCCACCAATGCATCCGAGAAACTTCAATTCCAACTTGGCTCACTCGTGTTCCACATCACATAGGAATGGCGAGTGCTGGATCTCCCAAGGCAGCCGAGTGGCATATCTTGTACTCTGTGTATATGGTATTATCCCTTATTCCGTATCATCAAAACTCTGATCGTGATTCATCGTCTTGGAAGATCTATCAGGGTATCACTTTAGCGACTCAAGTCATCAACATAGCACTCTCACGAGTGCTAAAACCTGAAGACCTTAAAAATCTCGACAACATCCTACTTCAGTACCGACAACATTTGCAATCTGCGTGGCCCAATATAAAGTCGAGGCCCAACCTTCACTATGCACAGCATCTGACCAAGCAATGTGAACTGTTTGGCCCTCCATCTTACATTGCAGCTTGGGCTGGGGAGCGAATGATAGGAACTCTTGTTTTGGCACCTAAAAACTCACGTAAAGGTATGTGTTATGTTCGTTCATTTCTATTTCACCTTATACTCTCATCATTCAACACATTCTCCTTCTTTCTGAATCGAACAGGTGTTGTTGGAAAGACATTAATCAATGCTCACACTCAGCATGCATTATTCAAACATGTTCTTACGAATACTTCAAAAGAATACCGTGCTTCCATTGGTGTTGAATCACTCTCACATTCAACTCGGACTAAATGGAAACTTGTTGCTCCTTCCGATGAAGTCTTGACAGCCCTTCAAGCGGCAGTATCAGGCCGGATGGATTTCACAATCTCTGACACTTCAAAGTTCGAATCAACTGTTCAGTGGGAACATGGAGGAAAAAACTTCGCTCAATATTCAAAACATAAAGGTAACAGTTATGTACAATTCGAAATGGGTGGACAAGTGAACTATGGGTACATCAATGGAATCTTCCGTGTGATTGGTCATAAGTCTCCCTTTTTCATTGTTAGACCTTTCACCCCTCTTCAAGGACGCGATGAATCACATAACCCCTTCCGCTCCCTGCCATATTTGAAAGCTACGGTTATGTATCATTCACATCAAGAGGTCAAATGTGTTCTACTTGATCAAATGTTTGGACATGTTGCTGTACGAGTGAATCACCCAAATACATACAATATCTCCCATCCAACAGTATCAATAGTCTCACTGAGAAGCATGGTAAGTTTG